CGCCTCCCCTCACCTCCCAGTGCCTCCCCCCCACCTCCTACCACCTCTCCTCAAGTCTTTTCTCCCAACAAAATGCTCCCTCTACACCTTGATGGACAACTAATCACTCTGCACTGCACCACCCCTCACTCTGGGCAGAAACCAGCTTCTAAGGCGACCCACAGTCTCTTCCATCTCCTGGCAGTGGTTGCCTTGTGGACCTGTCACCCAGGTCACATCAGGACTGGTCCAGGAAACCGACAGGAGACATTTTTCCACCTAGTTTTATTTTTTAATATTTTCACTTTTATTTTTATTTTTTGTGTATGGGTGCATTGCCTGCATGTAAGTGCACCCGTGTCATACAATGCCCCTGGAAGTCAGAAGACGGCATCAGATCCTCTGGATCTGCAGTTATAGATGGTTGTTAACCACCATGTGGGTGCTGGGAATTGAACCCAGGTCCTCTGCAAGAGCAGCCAGTGTTTTTAACCACTAAGCCTTCTCTCCAGTCCCTCACCTAGTTGTTAATATTTGTTTTCTTGGAGAATTTTGTACATGTATGTAATGTATTTTGAAGCTAACCATCCCCCATTTCCTCCTCCTACTGCCCCAGATCCACCCTACACCCCCCAATTGCATATCCTCCTTTTTTTTTTTCATTTTTCTGATTAGAGTATAAAAATCTGCTGCTCCCTTCGCTCAGCCTGAGTCACCCTATCGGAAGGCAGGTGACATGCTATGAGGACACAGAGGCAGCCTGTGAAGAGGTCACAGGAAAAAGGACTTGAAATCACCAAAATTCATAAGTGAGCTCAGAAGAAAATCCTCCATGACGGACCACGGCCTCTGCTCACAGCTGTGCACGCCCCATGAAACACCTTGAGCTACACCAACAGTAATTCTGTTCCTGGGCTGCAGACCACTAAATATTAGGACACAATAAGTGTTTATTCAGCTGCCAAGTTTTAGGGTCCTTAAGAGCACTGCAATGATGGATGATGCGCCACACCCCGTCAGAAAATGAACATTAAAATGTTTGAGGAAATAGTCATACCTTTGCCAGAAAACTCAATGCACTTTGTCTCTGCCCCTGTACACTTTAGGGGAACTGAGTCACATGTTGCGGCGTTTTCAATGTAGCATGCAGGACACTGGACACCATTGATCTGTGAAGACGGCTGAGACACTGAATGGAGAGAGAAAAGTTTCATCTTAGAAAAGGCAGGAGAAAAGAGCTGAGAGTACCCGTGCCCCACCTAGTCCAATATCAGCATTCTTTCATGGTTCCACCAAAAATAATTGTTTACAGTTAAAATGACGTGGGACGAAGGTATTGAGCAGGTGAGTGTGGTGGCAGGGTATCAAAGAAACTCAGTTTTCCTTTGTCTTTCATTAATCACTCACCTCTGCACTGGAGAAATTTTACTAGATAATCTGTGTTCTAAAAAGGTGCAAAGTGTAAGGAACTGGCCGAGTGCTGTGGTACATGCCCGTGCTCCCCCCTACTCCTACTTAAGAGGCTGAGACAGGGGGATTGCTCAAGTCCAGGCATTTAAGTCCAGCTTAGGACATTGGTGTGACAGTGGCACAAATTTGTGGGGTAGCCAGCCACTTTCTGATGAATTTAAAGCCTTTCCACAAGAGGGAATTCATGCCTGCTATAGTAAACCTGGTCAAAAGGCCATAGCCGGGGAGACCATGGGCCACTGGTGGAAATATATTATTTTTGCTTTGCTAAATGGTCATGTCATCAAACCACCTTAGAAATAATTGGGTTTATGCCAGCAGAGAAGCTTCCTTCTGCGGCGGCTGCATTTACCGCAGAGACTCCTAACTGGAGGTTAGATCACCGAGACTAAGTGACATTGAATGCTCAGCTCTAAACAGAACATTTTTAACATCTGCTTCCCCGATGCCCACGGCTCAGGGAACATCACAGAAGGAGGAGGCAGGAGAGTGTAAGAGCCAGAGGCTGGGGAGGAGGGTGTGAAACCCTATCTTCAGATCTGACACTGCCATAGCCCCCATGGCCTCACAGCAGCTGTGACTGCTCCCACAAGACCTGCACCAGGCCAGCTGTCAGCACTCCGGCGTGGATGGGGCACTGACACGGGAGTGCCACCCTAGTTCAGGACTTATTGATAGTTAATGGCTGCTTCAGAAGGGGAAGTCATTTTTCTTCAGGAATGTGGCAGCTGGTAAGTAGGCCATGATCCAGTAAATAACCCAACACCTGCACATATCTGCAGCCCTAATTAAGCTCAGTGGGTTATAAGAAAGCCTCGAAAGTCGGAGGGAGATTAGACCTACTGAGCAGAAAAGGGGTTCCAGAGGGAACGGGGTTAAGAGAAAGGAGAAGGGAGGAAGTTGGATCAAAACACATTACAGAGAACAAATTTCAAAATATTAAAAATTAAAACACATAATGTGAAATAAATAGACTAGCCTAGGAAATGTAGCAAGACTCATCTCAAAAGACAAAACCAAGTGGGGCTGGAGGGATGGCTCAGTGGTTAGGAGCACTGGCTGCTCTACCAGAGCACCCGGGTTGGGTCCCAGCACCCGCATGGTGGTTAATAACTATCCATAAGTTCAGTTCCAGGAGATCTGGAGATCTTCTGCCTTCACAGGTATTGCGTACATGTGGTACACTTATACACATGCAGGCAAAATACACAAAAATACATTTAAAAAATTTTATGTGTATGAGTGTACTGGCTGCATGTATGTAAGTGCACCTGTGTCATGAAATGCCCATGGAGGTCAGAGAGGGTGTCTGATTCCCTGGAACTAGAGTTATAGACAGTTGTTACCCACCATGTGGGTGCTGGGACGTGAAACTGGGTCCTCTGCAAGAGCAGCCAGTGCTCTTAAAAACTGAGCCATCTCTCCAGCCCCCCAAATACATTTCTTAATAAAGACAAAATCAAGGGTTAGAAGATAAATATGTAAGTAATAGATAAGTCTCAGTAGGAGGGACAAAGTTTAGAGAAAAGCCTAGGGACCAACCTGGACAGAACTCAGTCATCCACAAAGGAGAGGAGCTTCTATCCGACCCTGACCATTTCCCGGGAGCGCCGTTAACAAAGGGGAAAGAGGACAGGTGCGTCCCAGCAGCAGGGAGATGAGTCCGTGGAAAGGCAGAGAACCGAAGCCTTGGAGCGGGGTGGTGAGGGGCGGAGACTCACGCTGTAAGTCCTGCTTGTTGCACTGCTCAGCCTGACAGCATCGCTGGTCAGATCTAATCGTCCGCTGACTGTCCAGTGTCGCCGAGAACGTCAGGTGGGTGCACGCCGCTGTTAAACAGCCTTTCTGCTGAATCGTCAGGGACACGGATGACACTGCAGAGGGTGAAATCCCAAGAAAATGTTCCATATGAAACGGAAGGGAGCAGTCAGTGTTAAAGAGCCTGTGCCCCCACTCCCAGTCTTCACAAGAGTCTCTGCTTGGGCCAGAGAACCAAACGAGGGGGTGTCCGGTGTTAGAGCACCTGCCTAGCACTGCCCTGAGTTTGATCTCTAGCACTGCAAAGAGTAGGTAAGGGTCACTCCCAGGTGGCCACCACGAGGTTAATGTAGGAGTCAGGATCACCAGTCCTTTTTCCTGGACTGTCTGCAACAGGCAGAGCACCCCATGTCGACCACGTCCCACCGCCCCATCCTGGAAGGAGGCTGGATAAACTGGAAGGTGCATAAGGGGGTGAGGCTCACCTGGGTCTTTAAATTCCTGCACTAGGTTGAAGCAGCCTTGTGAGGTTTCACATACACCCGGGGTAGTAATCCAGATTCCATTAGCACACATAGAGTTCACACAAGTGAAGCTCTCTGGAGGAGGAAATAAGCATTGTTCAAAACCAAACCCCAGACCACTAAGGCTGGTGTTTCCAATAGACAGACATTCCAAGGAGAAGAAGCCCTGAGGGGCCAGCGGGATCCCTGGATCACACGGTGTACAGCACCTCTGTAGGGCACCTCACTGCCCACCTCCCCTTCCTTTGGGACGAAGGGATGTCTTGTTAAGTCTTACCCACAGTGCTTGCGGAAAAGACCGTGAAGACACAGACTGCAAGGAGGCGCTTCAGAATGGAGGGCCAGGACATGGTGACTCCCGTGAACACTGCAACAGGCCCAAGGAAGGGCAAAAGGGTCCGTTGGAGCTCGTGCTTGAATCCAGGACCACCCCTCGTCTATTTCTTAACTCATTCACTCTCTCATGCATCCATTCATTCTGTAAGGCACAGTTTGGGAAGCCCTGCTTTCATATTACATATGGCTCTTCAGGACATATAAAAAATAAAAAGATGTCATGTCTGTCAATCAAAGCATGCAAGAGAAAATTAGACTTCCTCCCCTAGGAAGGACTTTCAATGGGACAGAGTCTTTCCTTCATGAAGGCGTCACGCCACCTTCCACAGCTGAAATGAGTTGGCCAAGGGGCTGGAGAGACGGCTCAGCAGTCAAGAGCACTGGCTGCTCTTGCAAAAGACCCAGGTTTGAATCCCAGCACCCACAGGGCAGCTAACAACAGCCTGTAGCCCCAGTTCCAGGGGATCCAACGCCCTCTTCTGGCCTCTGCAGGTACTGCACAGCACGGGTACACTTACATACATGCAGGCAATACACTCACACACATAAACTAAAACAAATGAATAAAGTTTTTTAAAAAATGAGTTGGCCAGGAAATCACTATTCTAGAAGAGGACGGAGGCTTTCCAAATGCTAGATAGTTCTGGGCCACAGTGTTCAGAAACAAACAGCCTCTTAGCTAAGGACATGAATTCATTACTTCCAAATTCACCTTCCCACAGAGAGTCGGCCTCCAGCACACACAGGCCACAGCCCCACACCATATATGCTCACCAAAGACTATTCCTGATCTTCTGAAAGGACTATCTCTGAGCCAGGGAGGAAGGCCCGTGTTCTCACTAGAGATGGAGGAGAGGACTGTGCGTGAGGAGCAGTGGGCACAGGCTCTTCCTGCCCTCGCTGTGGCTGATTTTTATACCCCAGTGACCCTATCACTTTCAATTAAAGCATTGTAAATAGGCAGAACCTTGACATGAAGCCAAGTGCCCTAAACTGCATTGTTCCGGAGGGGTGGAGGGACACATACTTTGAAAACAGCTCTTCCTAGACATCCGGTTGGTAGGCAAGGAAGGAGGAGGAAATTCTGTCTCTGGGCCTCTACTAGGTTACAGAAGAATGTTGGGTACTCAGTTACAAAGTGTAGCAGCTTGATCACCAGCATACATCTACTGTCATCCTCCTGGTCTCAGTACAAATTCCAGCACAGAATCCCCCGTGTTTCATTTCTTTCTCTGCCTGTTTTTATGCCAAACTCTTCTTAGAACAAGTTCTACAGCGACCTACTGATTCGCAATGGAAAGAAAGGCTAAGCGAAAGGGACCACACATCCTTTGCCCTCCTGCAATCATCCAGGACCGTGTGGTGGGTGTGGAGGGCAGGGAGCGTCCTCCTGGGATCCAGTGTGCTGAGTGTTGAAGGGGGGCTGCAGGAAAGGGGCAGAGGACTGTCCAGATGCTCAGAGGTTGGGGTTCAGAGGGATGGGAGGGGGACACCCTGATAGGCACAGACGTCAGCAGACTCTGAGGTACAATCTGTATAAAGACCTGCAATGGTGGGGGAAGGAAGGCTGAGCTTTGTCCTGGGAGGCGTCAGAGTGTTGTCCATCCTGGACAAGAAACAATTGCTGCAGCAGCTGCCAATGGGCAGGAAGGAGCTCCCTGAATCTGAAACATCCGAGGCCTTCCCTGGAAAGGCCTCAGCCTGTGAAGCCGCTGTCTACAGCGTACAGATGGTAGAGGTGGTGTGGCCATCTGTTTAGTCTGCAGGGAATGAACGGACTTCAGAAAGTGGGCAGATTTTGAAATCAGCTTCAGATCACTTCTTTTCTCTGTCACCATCCTGTCTCACCATGTGTTTAACCCCCTTATGTTGTGGTTTACCATCCACCTCCCTCCAGGACAGAATGTCTCACTTTGGAGGAAATTGCTACACAACAGTTTTTCATCTTGGGCAAAGTTTAAAACAGACATTTCCACCTAACAGACCAGTTTGCTTAATCTGCCTGTGTCCTGCAGAACCTTCCCTAGGGACCAGGTGAGATGCACTTTCAAAGCCAGCAGCAGCAGCACCCCCCCAACCCCCACCCCCTACAGCCTTTTCCTGAGACTCTTTAAGGCTGTCCAGTTGAGCAAACTGGTTTTTGATTTATGCTTTGTTTTGTGTGTTTTGGAGTTTTGTGCTGCAGCTGGTGGTGGTGGTTCATTGTTGCTGTATGTTTGTGGGTTTGCTTTTGATTTTGGTTTTTTAATACAGGACATTCCTCTGTAGCTCAGGCTGGCTTTGGATACACTCTGTATCCAAGGCTGGCCTCAAACTCACAATCCTTCTGTCTCAGCCTCCCAAGTATTGGGATCACAGGCTTGTGCTACAATTCCCAAGTGGGCAATCCTGTTCTAAACCAAATTAGTTTCAATATTGTATGTATTTCACAAGAATGGCAGTTTTATTGACTTCGTGGATACACTCTGTATCCAAGGCTGGCCTCAAACTCACAATCCTTCTGTCTCAGCCTCCCAAGTATTGGGATCACAGGCTTGTGCTACAATTCCCAAGTGGGCAATCCTGTTTCTAAACCAAATTAGTTTCAATATTGTATGTATTTCGCAAGAATGGCAGTTTTATTGACTTCAGGCAGTGAAAGAAAAGGTAGAAAAAGAAAGTGGGGAATTTTCTCAAGCAGCTCCTCTGATCCTGTGACTTATAAGGAAGTAATTATCCAGAGGACCAGGACCCTTTACAATGGACAACTACAGGCACGACAGAAGCGTTTGATGGTAGAGTTTGGTGTGAGGGGTGAAAGGGTCCTGGAGCTAATGGCTTTGGTGGTTGCACAGATTAGATTAAAGATCTAGATTACCCTAGATTAAAATGCACAAAAATGCAAAATCAAATATTTTGCATTAAGAAAAAACAGAATGCGTAACTATGTCATTCACGCAGACAATACTGTTGGTGTCCTGGAGAAAGTATGACCCAAGGTGCAGTTATCCAAGGAAGAAAATAAGTCAAAAGCACATTGACCTGGTAAAGGGGCGGGAGGGACACAGGAGCCACAGTCTATGGCTGTTCCTCAACCACCCTTGTCTCCTGTCACAGAATATTGGTGGGGACATTTCTCAGCACTAAATCCCAAGACTGGGCTATGAGGAAGCAAGATTGGGGGCGCACTGCGTGGGTCCTTACATGCCCTCCCACAGAGTGCAGGAGCTTATAGGTTGGGCCCATTAATCTGGTCCTGTGTTATTGTTTCACACCCACTTTGGTAACAGAAACATTACACACCCTCTTTAAAAGGCCAACTGCCAACACAGGTCTATAAGCTCAGCATTCAGGAGGCAGAGGCAGGGGGCTCAGGAGTTCAGGGTCATCCTCATCTACATAATGAGTCTGAAGCCAGCCAGAGATATGAGACATTGTTTCAAAAGATCAAAAACAGGGGGCTGGAGAGATGGCTCAGCGGTTAAGAACACTGGTTGTTCTTTCTCCAGGACACCAACAGTTGTTCTTGCAGAAGACCCGAGTTTGAATCCCAGAACCCACATGGCAGCTAACAACTCTCCATAACTCCAGTCCCAGGGGATCTAACAGCCTCTTCTGACCTCTGAGGGCATTGCACAACACAGGTACACTTACCTACATACAGGCAATACACGCATATACATAAAATAAAAATAATAAATAAAACATTGAAAAAAAAAAAAAAGATCAAAAACAGCACCATCCCTACCTGGGATGCTTTCCAAAGCTGGAGGTTTGGGGTAAGGCTTCAGATGAGGCAAGGGGTTCTAGGCTGCCCCTCCGCCCAGCCCACACTTCCATTTGAATACAGCAGGTTAGGGTTTCTTCACCTCACCTCTGACCTCCAGAGAGAAGACAGAGTGATGATGGCCCTGCAGCTCCATTACCCCAGGTCTGCCCTGGGTCCACTGTCTCTGCTCTGCCCACAAACGCACCTTGAAACTTCTGAGAGCTAGAGAAAACCCCAATCAGGAGTGTGACTCTGTTTCTCTGGAGAAAGGAAAGGCTGTGGCTCTCCTCTGCTTCCAGTGCCGGGCAGGCTTTCCCTGGGCGATGGGGGCCTGCTGGGAGTTCAGTGGACATGAGGTCGCTGTACGCTGATGCTTTGGCAGACATGGTGCTCCTTACCCGGGTGGTGGCTTGAGTCCCTTGGCCCGACAACAGATGCTGCAGTTGGGTCCTCTGTCTTTGGGTCTACACTTCTGCATCCTGCTTCTCACCTCCAATAGAGAACAGCACACCCCACCACAGCCAGTGACACCATGGACTCCGGGCTCTTGACAGCTTTCTCAAAGGTGACCTCCACAGCCTCACCCTCCTCTGGCGCCAGAATCCTTCCTTGTGCAGGTGCTCTGGGCATAGAGAAATGGGATGGGACCAAGCACTACTGAGCTCCCAAGGTCATGGAGGAAGCAGGACCCATTACCTGTGGGACCTCTTGAGGATGGGGACATCATGAGGCAGCAGTGTCTCACCTGCCTCCCTGCCTTCTGCTTTGATACCACAAACTGCTGGCCGGATACCCCGGGCCCACGATTGCAGGCTTAACCTGAGGTTCCTGGCCCCTGATCAGGAGGCTTCAGGCCCCTGGGAAGACCAGAGATCATGAAAATTTTATACTCTATGTATGTTATCACTATCAGAATATTTTCAGCTTATGGAGAGATGGCTCAGCGGTTAAGAGCATTTGCTTCTCTTGTAGAGAACCTTGGTTCAGTTCCCAGCACTCACATGGTGGCTAACAACCATCCATTACTGCAGTTCAAGGGAGTCTTATGCCTTCTTCTGGCCTCTGCAAGCATAGCCCACACATGACACTCTGACATACATGCAGACGAAAAAAAAATTGTATATATAAAATAAAATAAAATATAGCAACAAGAAAAGAATACTTTTTAAAGAAACAATGGTAGTGACCAGGGTGGATGACACATGCTCATTAACCTAACAGAAGAAAATGAAGCAGGATTGCCCCACATTGGCCAGCCTCGGCTACACAGTGA